AAGGTTAAACGCTTAGTAGTTTAACCTTTAAGCACGTGCACTGTACAAATATTCCGGAATCCCTTTAACTTAACCTGTCACCATTCATCTAACGTAAAACTCACAGCCAGGGTTTCTCGATGTAAAATATCATCTCAATTAAAACAATGTGAAAAGGCAAAATCTGTACTCATAGGAAAATAATCCCTATAACCAAACAACAAAACAGAGCAGATATAACATTTAAGGAAAATCTAATACGACTTTAAATCCAAAAATCAACTCAAGGCAGACGAAGAACCTTGAGGTCAATGTTCGAGCGGGTAGTGAGGAAAGGGGCAAATTCGGGATCTTTAAGGATGTTCTTCCACTTTCCAGGACCGTGTTTGGTGATTCCTGCCAGAAGAGCCTCCTCTTCCTCCGCCGTCCATTTTTGTTTCTGGTTCCCCATTGTTCCCCTTCTCGCTCTGTGTATCTCCCAAGCTAAGATATAAACCCTAAAACACCAAGAAGAAACTATAGTTTTGTTACGTAGCTGCTGACCCTTTTTTGTGTGATTTTGTGGGGTTTTCTTTTAAGAAGGGGTTAATAGTTAATACTTTATCCTCATAACAAATACGGTAAAGCACACAAATGATCATTTTGACTATATGATATTATTTTATTAAATCTCTTAATTATCAAATTTTATAAAATATTCTTTCAACTATAGGACATTATTTTATTAAATCTATCGACTATTAAAAATTATAAAATGATCATCTGACTACTCATATATTCCAAACTTGTTCTATTTTGTTAGAAAAATTGACGATCGTCTGAGCTAGACGTTAACATATTGAGTGAGATATGATAAAATTTAATCCTATAATCTTTTTAGTTGTATTTTGTAGATTGACTCTTTGTTTATATTATGCTGTCGAATCAATGCTTGAAACATTATGTCACCTAGTCAATGCTTGAAAGCAACAACAGTGTTTCTAGATATCATTAAAATATAATTTTATCATATCTTAGTTAGCATGTTAACGTCTAACTCAGACGATCATCAAATTTCTAGTGGAAAAGGATGAATTTAAAACATTTAAATAATCAATAATCATTTTGTAACTTTCAATAGTTTGAGACTCAACAAATTATTGCTTTAAAATTAAAGATATTTTATAATTTTTAATAATAAAATGACTTAACACATCAACGTATAGTCGAAGTATCGTTTGTATTATTGTATACCTTACCTTAACAAATACTAATAAAAGGTTTAATCAATTTTCCTTTACTATTATATTTCGCTTTTAACAATTTGAATAATTTTTTTATTTGTATTATATATATATATTCCTTTCATTGTAATTTTTATGGTATAATGAAGGGCAACAATAAAATTAGTTTTATATTTGTTTTTTTTTAAAGTAATAGAGAGTCTCGTTAAAAAATCTTTCTTAACTCGACCAAGATAAAGCTCGATCGCGACAGCAGAAGGAGAAAAGACTACTCCATTTGATTTCATTAAACCGAGAATACAAGTTTGAACTGCATGCATAAACCACAAAGGAAATACCACTAGCAAAAACCTTTAAGGGACCACCATACAAATAACACTCATGTAACCGGCCCCCGACTTACCATCTATAGACCAGCACGTCATATCTCCATTGGATAGGGACTAGGAGAACCGAAGCAGACCATGAGAGAAGAGAGCAACCTGCCACTATGAACGCAAGAAAACACACTGCCACCCCGAAAATGCTTCCTGACACAAAACGGTGCTATCCAATACCAGCAAATGAATTGCAGCTTCGGTGAATCCATCAAACAACTAAGCCTAACTCCTTAATAACAGTAGAAATCTCCAAAACCATGGGAAGAATATTCGAAGGAGGTTCAGCTTTTAATGATAACCAATCAACAACCAAATTGCAATCTGATTCCAAGACTAACCTATTCATTTTACACCAAGCAGAATCAAGGAATTTACTCAAACCCTTCTTAACAGCATATAGTTCTATCAGCGCAGGAGAACATCATTACATGGTTCCGAGAATTGAAGCAATATCTCACCATCCGAGTTCGTTAACACCCCCTATACCAGCACTATAACCACCGGGCGCAACCGACCATCGAGTTTCACAAATCTTATTGGAGGAGGTGACCATTTAGGCAAAACCTCACAATTACTTGGTCTAAGGATTTTATTTGAAATCAGGACGGTTTCAGCAACAATTGAATCCAAATGGATAGAGCAATCAACAAATTTCGCTTTAATCCATGAAGCAAGGCGAAACTTGACCAAGAAAAGTAATTGCAGCCAATCTATGGATTTTTCCTTAAAAATAATTCATTTCTAGATAACCATACAGTCCATATTATTGCGAATGGGATAAAACTCCATACCTGTCTAACCGAAGATAGACCTATTGCTCCCAAGGATTCCAAAAACACTTTGGGATCACTGTGCATTACAGCAGTAGATATTCCCTATTCAGAACAAAAGCTCATCCAAATCCGCCAACTAAACGAAGAAGAGGTTCTCAATGCTTTCTGGAGAATTTAGACAAAAAGAGCACAGATTATTAGAGATCGAGGAAACTCCCTCTTTATAAGTTCAGTTTTAACTGGAACTCATTTTCTCATAACCAACCAAACAAACAGTTCGACCTTTGGGGGGGCAAAACCAATCCAAATAAAGTCTTTCCAAAAACCATTAGAAAGCAACGGACCCGTGCACAACTTCCTCAAAGATTTACCGAGAAAGCTCCATCATTTGAACCCAGCCACTGAACCCAATTTGTTTCCAATTCGATTGATCTGAAGTCTTGAGGATATTCAAGAAATCATTCTAAATCGGCTTTTCTCTATCAAATAGAGCCCTTCTCAAGGGAATATTCCAGTTCCAACCAATCTCAGCTTTCTTCCCAAAATCAGCTATACATCCTTCTTGATTATTGGACAGCGCATAAATACGGGAGAACCTGTTCTTCAAATATGGTTTACCCAGCAACACATCATTCCAGAAGGATATATTTTTACCATCTCCCACTTGCAAGGACAAATTTAATCTCACACAATTACCAATACCGTCTTCACTTCTGAAGGAACGTAAAATGGAGTTCCAAATCCAAGAGAAATAGCGATTACCTGAAGAATAAGGCAAGATACTTTCCTTACCTCTAGGAGATTTACACTGAATCACCCATCTCCACAGACTTGCTCGATTGTTACCGTATCTCCAAATCCATTTGCCAAGGAGAGCTCTATTCATAGTCATCAGATTAACAATGCCAAGGCCACCTTCTTCGAAAGATTTGCAACATGAATCCCAGCATACCCAATGAATTTATGTTTCTCGAAATTACCTGCCCAAAGAAAATTGGAGATGAGTCTGTTTAATTGATTTAATACGGAGGTCGGCATCCTAAACAAGGATAAATAATACATAGGAAGGCTTGTAAGAATTGATTTTATCAGAGTTAACCGCCCACCATAAGTCATATATCTAGCTTTCCATCCCTCCAGTTTGCTTGTGAAATTCTTCACAACCGGTTCCCAAATTGATGGTGAATTTCTGCTAGCCCCTAGAGGAAGGCCCAAATACTTCGTAGGGAAGGACTCCACTAGACAACCGACATCCTGGGCCCACTGATGTAAGAGAGACGGATCCGTATTAACACCTAGGATTTTGCATTTCATATTTAGCTTTAAACCCGAAGCCAACTCGAAGACTCAAGAACCCTTTTTAACATTTTTAACTTGCATTCCCGAGGCACCACAGAAAATGAGAAGGTCATCAGCGAATTGGAGATGGGATACTTCCATACTCATCTCCCCTCTCCCCTCTCCCAATCTCGAAATCTGAAAACAAACCAACGTTAGTCGCTTTTTTAAGTATAAGGCTTAAAGCCTCACCGACAACGTTAAAAAGAAGGGATAAGGAGCATCCTTGTCTTAAACCTCTCGAAATAGAAAAAGCCTCCGATGGAGCTCCGTTCACTAGGATTGAAATCCTAGCCGATGAAATACACCTGTAAATCCACCTACACCATTTCTCCCCAAATCCACATTTTTTCAAAATTTGCATTAAGAATTCCCAACTGATCGTATCATAAGCTTTATGAAAATTGATTTTGAATGCCACACCACTACACCCGGATCTGGAGACAATCGATTATCTCATTAGCTGTTAAAGAACAATTAAGAATTTGGATTTTAAATAGCGGTCCGCGATCGCGATAGCACCCACGAAATAGTGATAGCGCTTACTTCCAATATACCCGTTGTAGCGTCCGCGACCGCGATTAGAATCCTTGAATTTGACCACCAGCTATGAAGGTAAATTGCGAGTCCCCAATAATCTAACTGATGCATCCCTTTTATCTTTTAGTGAGCACTTTTGTTTAGGGTTTGACCGACCGAGTGTGGTCATAAATTTAAAATTTAAGGATAAATGATCTTTTATATTATCGGTCAGTCTGATTTAAGTTCATCTGTTATTAATTTTCGTTAACATCTTTTGTTTAAGTCCCTAACATGGATGAGAGACTAAATTTCAACGGGAGTTAACGAGGATTAAAATCGAATGGATCAATGGATCAATAACATTAGAGACCATTTCTCTTTAATTTTGAAATTAATGACTAAATTAAGTCAGACGTCGCATAGTTTACCCTAATTAAAATAAAAGTCCAACTGTCCAAGGAATACTCGTGTGTTTTACCCAATGAAAATTGTTGGTCATATCCACGAAAGTCCTAATAGTCAAGCCCAAAACATGTACAGCCAATTTTCTTTCGAAGTGAATCATCGTGTATAACTCAACCCACCGAACTTATATCCACTAACAAGATCGTAAATTTTTTCCATTACACTCCATCAGCATTTGCTCTTAAACTTTTATTTTACAAACTTATGCAATAGTCCACTTGTGATCACAAAAAATAAAATTAAAGGCAGCGATCCTTACTCCTTCCTTTTTTTTTGTAATTTTCATTTTTTATTTTAGGTTCTCTTAAAAAAAAAACTGGACAAGTGAGATCTACTCTGTTTGATCTTGTATGCCCCAATAGTCTAAACCCTGACATTCACGCATTTATTCCACTTTTTAATAGTTTATTTGGGAGCTTAGAAAATCATGGCTTATGCATCTCATATCATCAATCACTCTAGAAAGGTAACGCTCGAGTTTTCTCAGTTCTCTTTACTCGATTCGTGTCTGATTTTTAATGATTTCATCAGTTTTAGACTCAAATACCTTTATGGATTTGAGAAATTATATTGATTTTAGTTCATAAAGGCCATCTATGAACGTAATTGATGAACCATCTTTAACTTCATTTTATTGATCATAATTGGAAGTTCTTTGTCTCTGTTATACCGTTTTTATATATTGAATTTGACTTTTGAAATTTTGCTATCACAGTTAAGATGTGTTCCCAAATTAATGCGGCACGATCACGCCGTTTTGGTTCGTTGGTTTTCCAATGGAGCACAGTCATCTATTTGCAAAAGAGATGGTACTTATAAAGATGCCAATGATATAAAGATTGTTTTATTTTATGATTCCTAGTGCTAGTTTTCGACAAATCCTTAAGCATTTTTGTTTAGTTTACAATGTTGACGTGCAAAAAATGCATTCAAAGCCTCCCGACTACCAATTTACTAAGTAAGGTATTACAAGTACAATCTCTAGACTATTTTAGTAGCAACTGTCTGGCACGCTAATTTAGTTATGTATTTGTGATTACACTCTTGTTTGAAGTGACAATTACATTTAGTGATAGGTAATTAAGTTGTCAGGTTTTAAACGCATAACAGAGTGCATGTTGTTTTGTTTATGTTATGTTAAGCGAAGTTAGTTACTGTTCAGGTGTTGTAAAGATCTGCCATCTTGGTGCACCTGCAGAAAGAGAGACTGTATCTAAGTTTGTTGCCCGTGTCCCTGTAAGTTAATCTTTCTATTATTCCCATTGTTGGAGCAATAAATTTGCAGTCTCAGTTCCATTTTCATTATTTTTCTTTCTTCTGCTGACTCCCCCATTGTGCATGACGTTCTTAATTGAAGATAAGACTCGTGTGGCTAATACTGGCTGTTTAACATCTTATTCTGCAGGTATCATCTGGTTTATCTGAGAACAACCTTTCTAGGACAACAATGAGATTGGGAATTCCAATGGGTGGTGTGGTATACAGCAGAGAACTTTTATGGTATTCTTTTGGTCATTTTTCTATGATCTTATTGGAAATTATACTGTTTCCTGTTAAAGTTTTCTTAGTCATTTCAAGAACTTAAACTTCTTATCCGTCATCAGTTCGCAGGTGCTTTCAAGGAGAGGATTTGCATCTGATGCAGGTATAGATTATTGCTTTAATTATCCTGCATTGTTCTCTTAGGGATCCATTACTTGTCAAATGGTAAAAAGTTTTGCACTTACCAGTGACTACTACGAGATGAAACTGCACGTCTCATTCTGAATTCCAAACTATGACTCTATTGATGCACTTTCTTTGAAACTTTTGCGTTGAGGCCATAATTGGCTTCGAGATTGTATTGTTCATTCTTACTATCTCTTTTTCAGTACCCTTCTGACACGAGACCTCAGATAATATGAATCTACTTTTTTGGGTCATAATATTTTGCACTTTAAAACATGTTTATCTGGTTTCTAAATTATAAATAACGCGACTTATCTGCTTTTAAGATTTGAGAAATCATAACTACAGTTCAATATTCATCTCTCTTCTATTTTTTCTAGTGCTATCTCTTAGGTAATGCTGGATTTATTTAGAATGATTGGGTTTTCCAGTGTTTTTTGGCCAGTCTAGAGGTTAGTATATTTATGGTTGGGCACATTGCAGTTGAAACGGTGATTGAAGGTCTCTGAGTTGAACTCTGCTGCTTTAGTGATAACCATAGGGTGTTACTTGTTTGTTAAATGCCCCATTTTGTTATTTCATGACCTACTTAATATTGCTAATATTCTTAAATTGCTTTCAGGCCTGCTCCTCACCAAGAGATTGGAATGCCTTCACTCACCCACGATGACAGAGGTTTGAATCATTCTGAATCTTTCCAAAATATTGTAAAAATATCTGCAGTATCCTTCTTAGCATGCTGTATCCTGAATGCAGGGAAATATTGCAAGGTGGTTGAAGAAAGAGGGTGATAAGGTGACTCCTGGTGAAGTGTTGTGCGAAGTTGAAACTGTAAGCCATTCTCTTGTTTGTTGGAACTTGTAGCATCTGGTGAAAGTTATCCCTTTATTTGCTTCTTTTTATCAGAAATAGGATTTTCATTTATTACTTTATTTATTATTTGAAAGGATAAAGCACTGTTGAGATGGAATGCATGGAAGAAGGTTATCTTGCTAGATTATTAAGGGAGATGGATCAAAGAGATCAAAGTTGGTGAGGTATTGATTTTGAGAATATGTGCATATATTTATCTTTCTTCAGTTCTCATGGATTGGAGAATCCAGTTTGACTAAATAGAGGAGATGCCATCTTGGCTTTCTATTGGTCTTTTTGCAATACATCTGAATATTTATGCAGCTATATTTTTTTGTTTTCTTTTGTTGTTATGTAGATAATTGCCATTACTATTGAAGAGGAAGGGATATTGTGAAGTTCAGGACTTCAGTCCTGCAGACTCAGCTGCTCCTCCGCCACCACCAAAGAAGGAGCCCTGTTGAACATCAGTTCCTTCACCAGAGTCAAAGTTGGTGAGGTATTGATTTTGAGAAATATTGTGCATATATTTATCTTTCTTCAGTTCTCATGGATTGGAGAATCCAGTTTGACTAAATAGAGGAGATGCATCTTGGCTTTCTATTGGTCTTTTTGCAATACATCTGAATATTTATGCAGCTATATTTTTTTGTTTTCTTTTGTTGTTATGTAGATAATTGCCATTACTATTGAAGAGGAAGGGATATTGTGAAGTTCAGGACTTCAGTCCTGCAGACTCAGCTGCTCCTCCGCCACCACCAAAGAAGGAGCCCTGTTGAACATCAGTTCCTTCACCAGAGTAGATTTCCACTGTTTGATACTGTTGTGATTTTGTGACCCTGATAAGTAATGTGATATATAGTAAAGAATGCCTGTCCCCCACCCCCACAACACTTTTGTATTTTCAGAGATTCTTTAATAGTATTCATTTTTATGTACTATTGTCACTTCTTCTGGTTACTGGAGAGTTTTCCTTGTCATGTAGCGTCACATCAGAAGGAAGTTTCAGCACCAACTCCTAAGGCAAAGGATGCAAAACTTGCATCTTTGGATTATGTGGACATCCCTCATTCAGATAAGAAGGTTTTAGTGGTGGACATATTTTTATAAGTTTCATGAGATACAAGTCTGTTGAATGTTATGGTACTTGGATTTTATTCCGGATCCACTTCATAGAAGATTACCTGCTTCAAATGGAATGAAGCATTTCATCTAGTTCTGAAAGGATTTGCATTTGATTGCAACTAATGAATTCACAAAATCTAGTTACCTTTAGATTTATTCACTCTTTGCATAAGAATGTATTGATATTGGTCTCTCTATCTTCTCTCCAGCTTCTTTTGTTGCTTCCCCATTTTTTTGCCTGTTACATAATCAATGTGCTTTGAGAGTAATTTCCACACAAAACTTGACAGGTCACAGCATCACGCTTACTATTCTCAAAGCAGACTATCCCGCATTACTATTTAACGGTGGATACATGTGTTGACAAACTTATGGAGTAAGTAACAGTGCTTTAATATTTGCAAAAAGAAATTGGTGATAGGTGTGATAATCATAAACTGCTTCATTACATTCAGCTTGCGGAGCCAGCTGAACTCATTACAAGAAGCTTCTGGTGGAAAGCGTATATCTGTGAATGATCTTGTAATTAAGGTAGGCAGCCTCTATGCATATACTTAGCTTTGAGATATATCAAGTTGACCCATAGCTTTTGTCAATATAATGTGGATCTAACGTGGCAATTCTTGATTGGGCTTCAGAGTACATAGTAAAACATATTATGTCAAGTTCGTGTCTCATTGCATTTTCTTGCTTTTTCCTCCATGTAATCTTTAATCCTTTTCCTGAAATTATGTAAATTCTTTAAAAATCACATACTTTTCTTTCTTGCTTTTTTTTTGGTGGGGGGGGGGAATATTTTAGTCTGAACATGGTCTGGAATGACCGCTTTTCTGTAGATGCTAATATAATATTTCTGCAAATAAGAAATTAGTGATTGTTCTCCTTTTTCGTATTGAATTGCCTTTAGAGTGCTACAACAAATAAACATGTCAGATTTAATATTTCCAGAAGGTAAAAGTCTTTTGTCAATTACAGGCTGCTGCATTGGCTCTTCGAAAGGTTCCTCAGTGCAATAGTTCATGGACAGATGATTATATTCGCCAGTGAGTATAACATGCTTATAAACTCATTAGGTCTCCAATGCATAATGCATGTCAAATATCACCTGACATGCTTTCTTTTACTTCCTACCCAGGTATAACAATGTGAATATTAATGTAGCTGTGCAGACAGACAATGGACTTTATGTTCCTGTTATCAGGGTGAGTTATTCAACTTCATGCTGTTCCATTCCTGTAATAATTTTCTAGTTAGCAATACCATAATTGTTGTACACATTGCAGGATGCTGATAAGAAAGGTTTGTCCTCAATTGCTGCGGAGGTCAAGAAGTTGGCGCAAAAAGCCAAAGAGAACAGCTTAAAACCAGAAGATTATGAGGTACAGATTGCTTTTATGTTAATAAACAATAAGTGATGTTATGATCATAATCTAGATTATGTACATGCTGGGTTTCCATTGCAGGGAGGCACATTTACAGTGTCTAACTTGGGAGGCCCCTTTGGTATTAAGCAATTCTGTGCCATTATTAATCCTCCTCAGTCAGGAATTCTAGCTGTTGGCTCTGGTAAGATTTATCCTTAATTTTGGCCTATGTCACACATCGTATCCATTTCTGGTGCTTCATAATTGCTGGACTGAACTGTTTGCAGCCGAGAAGAGGGTTATCCCTGGCTCAGGTCCCGACCAATTCAATTTTGCTTCATACATGTCTGTAACTCTTAGCTGTGATCATCGAGTTATTGATGGTATGTAGTTTTGTTAGAATCGTAATAGTTTATTACTGACCTGACTCAAATTTGTACAATCCAATCAATTCAACTTGCTTGTACTTTTAGGTGCAATTGGTGCTGAATGGCTGAAATCTTTCAAAGGCTACATTGAGAATCCAGAGTCGATGTTGCTTTAAGTCGATGGCGCCTTGTTTTAGACATATTTTCTTGCTGTTATCAATTTGCATGATGCAATGCAATAACGTTGCATTTATTCCCGAGCAATTTTCTTCGGGAGTGTTTCTTTCGTTATAAACCACATTAATTTTTTTGGGGAATAAGGTGGTCAAGAATCGAGGAAAACTGCGAGCTCTTTTGCTGAGTGTAATAACTCCTACCGTGAGTACTAGGAATTATATTTGGGGTATCGCTATTGTTATGTTTTACTGGTCAGAAATGTTGAGTGAATATGATGTTTGCTGGGGACGAAGCAAGTGCTCAAAGTAAAAGATTAAATTTGAATTAGAACTTCACATATATACATAAAATTTGATTTACAAGCTAAGCTCCTGCATATATGTACAAAGAAAGTAAAACAAGCTAAGCTCGAGCAGTTCTGCTGCTAATAAACAAAGCAAGAAAAGTAAAAGTTAGCATACATGAGAACATAGATGAAAACCTCTAGTAATCATTCATCAGATGAATATAAAAGTAAAATGAAACATGTTTGATCGAATATGTTGGGAAGAAAGTTATTCATCCTACAAATATTAACACTAAATTTGATTTCTCCGAAACACGGTGTTAATAGCAATTTCCCCCTCGAATATAACCCACATCCATGAAAAAAAATCAATTTAAAGAAATATCAAGTTACTGAGTAATTTTATTTTCTTTTTTCATTCTTTTAAATAGGCACGTATCTCTTCAACACGTGCTTCCCAGCGACCACCGCCCCCGCCGCCAACCCACCAAGCGCACCAGCGATCGCAGCTGATCTCACCCCTCTTGCCGCACGACAAACCGCCCCGGTGGCGAGTCCCGCCGCGACGCTACTCAATATATCTTCTCGATCGGTCACGGCGACGATTCCGCTCTCCATCCCCGAGTATACCAACCCCACCACCCCGATCCGATTCCCCCACGAACGACCTGCATGACCGGTACTATTCAAGATCCGGTTTATTTTCAGCTTCAAAGTATCTCCTTGCTCGAAATTCCTCAGAGCCGTGAAGAGTCCAACGACTGCGCCGGATACTGAACCGCCTAAATAAGCGGAACCAGTGTAAAAGGTTAGGTTTTCTCCCCAAGAGCGGCGTTGGTGGAGGGATTCCTCGGCGAAGAGGAACTCCGGGGAGGTCGGAAGCTTGTACAGGTTGGTTATGGGAACTTGAAGGTTTAGATATTGGCATGGGTTGTAAAGTCGGCTGTTTGGGTCGGTTTCAGAGTGGGAGCCAAGATGATTCGCCATTGTCAAAAAGGATAGTTGTATGACAAAAGACTTCTAGTTAGGGTTTGGTTATGTGGAAGAAATGAAAGAAGGGTTTTTCTTTATTATCAGAAACGAGAGAAGGGTTTAACATTTATATTTAGTTCCGGCGTTAGACGTTGGGCCAAGAATTCTGCGTATAGGTTGGGCCTTCTTTCCTTTTATGGTTCGACTGCAAAGCCGGTTTACCAACTTTTTCCCCTTTTAAAGATATTTATTTATATTTTTTATACTCTTTAATTAAATAATACTTATTTATAACTTAATTTATTATATCAAACTAAATATAATTAAAAAATATTACACTAACTATTTAGTAATAAAAAATAATTTCAAATTTATTTTTGAAAAGTAAACAAATAAATAATTTTGATTATATTGGTTAACAATAACAAATTGATTTTAAATAATTATATCAGTTAATTATTTAATATCATTTAAAAAATAAAAAATGTTTAAATGAGTAAACATCCCAAATAGACCTTCGAGTGAACATCCAAATGTTGTATAAATACGAAGGACCCAATAGCATCGTAAGACGGATAAAAAGAAAACGCTTAAATATAAATTTGACATTTGGATTGAATATAAATTTGGTACGAGCCCAATGATTTTTTTTAGCAAATGAATTGTTGTTATTTTTTAAAGTTTCGGGTTCGAGCATCTAGAATGTCAATAGTACAAGTTTTCAATGTTAAATGATTGAGAATTATCTTTAAACATATACTACTTTGTACATACCTTAAATTATCAAAAAATATTTTTAAATCATTTTTAAAAAAAATTATTCTTCATTTAATATTTTAATTTTAATTCTTATTTGACAATGAATGATTACACTCATGCATATATTTTACTCAGATCTAAAATCTTTAAAAAACATATTTTTTAATAACCAAAATCGTTTAATCCATGTCCATAATTGTAATATTAAATATATATTTTAAAAAAAGAAAGTTAGTGAATCATTCCCATAAATTAACCCAAAAGGGGAAAGAAAGGCAAACAATGAAAATTGAATTTGAAGGGGAAATAAAAATAGAAAAAAAAACTCAAGAATCAAATTATCTTGGGTTGTCATCCTTAATAGGTTGCCTACAAAAGATAGGGTTGTTCGGTTTGGGTTGATTGTTGACAATGTTTGTGAGATATGTGGGACTGGTATGGCGTCTCAGGACCACCTCTTTACTGATTGTTCTTATGCTAAGGAAGTTTGGGGTACTGTTCTGAATGCTTGTGGTCTTTCACATGAGGTTCATAGTTGGGATGAGCATTTTCATTGGTTGCTTGTTAATTTGAAGGGCAAATCCCTTAGAGTACGTATTCCCAAACTTGCGTGGGTTGTATTTTTCTACTTTATTTGGAAGGAACGCAATTATAGACACTATAGGAGATTGGCTTGTTCGATTGATGTAAATGTAAATAGGTGAAGGGAGGCTGTGAAAATTAAAATGTATAGACATGACATGTATAAGATTGATGATGTAAATAGGTAATTGTGCATGAATTGGCGACTTATCTAGTTGTGATTAGTTATATTTTATAGCAATTAAGCTGTTTTCTTTGGATGAATATAATTTATTTATCTAAAAAAAATAGAAAAAAAAAACTCAAGAATCAAATTATCGTTTTTTTCTCTTACCATTAATTTATTTTATTTTGCTTATTCTTATTTTTATTTAGGAAATGCTATAGGAAGGAGGAAGAAGAAGAAAAAGAGAGGAGTTGTGAAGAAATGTCCGAAAACAGAAAAGAAACAGATGGATTGGGATCCGATACATCGCATCGCATGGGGTACAAAAACACTTAATAGTGTGGGTCTGACTTTTAAGATGAGAGGGAGGCACGTGTCCCTCCTCAAAGTTTTGCCCCATGGAAAAAGTCATGGGTAAGATGTCTTTATGTAAACACTGTCCTAAGCATTTCCTGACTTAAAACTTAAAAGCATTCAATGATGTAAGATAATTACATGTATACGTGCCCCCTCAAGGAGTTGAATGGTAAAAGAAAATCCATTCCCCCTCGCACATATTCCTTTTCTTCTTCTTCTCCTCTCTCTCTCTCCCCAAGCCCAGAATAAGCAAATAATCTAGTGGAAAAACAGGAGGAGGCTTCTTTATTTCATCATATTTTGTAAGGTTTGGGGCCCTTCATTTCCTACTGGTAAGCATCATTTTAATCATATCTTCGAATAAATTAGATGTTTTTCCCGTTGGTTTAAGGGCTCAAGGTAAACTTTTTAGTATATATCAAGGATGTTTTTTAGTAGTTTCTTTCTAGAGATACATAATTCTGGTACCTTCTTGTTGTTCTTGTTGTCTGGGGTTGGCGTGTTTGTTGGAAGAAGGAGAGTGAAAGAGTCCCTTGGCTGGGATAGGTTTGCCTTAGATCCGGGAAACTCAACTTGTATATGTACCAAAAAGTTTACCTTTTTAGGGCTTCCCCAGATATTATCTGTGCTTTTTTGTGTTTCATCCTAGTTTCTTTACCATGACAACTTTTACTTCTTTTTTTATAACAGATATAGCTTTGAATTTGGATTTTCATATTTTCCTTTATAATTACCTTGATTACTTCTTGAATTTTGATTAAATATAAGGGTTGATCCGTGGTGCTTATTCACCAGATCTGGCTAGTCATATCTTCATTTCTGTCGCGTTTAACTCGTGCCCCCTCTTAAAGCTTTAATCTAGGTGGTTTACTGTTTCTTCACTGCTCTGTACATTTGTTATGAAAAGATTTGTAGGGTCGTTGAGATTCAGTGCAATGGAGAAAGTATTGATAGAACCCAATGACTTGATCCCAAGTTTTTTGCTGGATGGTGATAGTTGAAGATGAATGGTAAATTGTGGTTCATGCTTTAGAGATTTTAAGTGGTAATAATTTGTGGATTTGAGGCGAGAATTGATGGAAAATATGTCTCCGGCAGTTGCAGTAGCCCTTAGTTTAGGTAAATCTATGTGTCAGAACTCTGGAATCGCAGCCCATGTGGAAATCGCAGCGATAAAGCTAGTAACTGATGCAGCGAACTTGTTGTCCAATTCTGCAAAGGTCATTTCACAGGAATCTAATTCTAGCAGCTGTGGAAATTGTGAACAAGGTAAGAACAGCTTTAACATGGTGGCAGTGTCAGAGGGTGTTGGGGCAGGAGCTGATTTGTCGAAGATGTTACCCAAGAACCAAAATAGATCAATTGCTGCTAGTGAATTGATGGCTCATGAAAGTGAGGAAGATGGAATTTTTTCAGTGGACACTAATGGAATTATAAATGAGGGGTTGCTGGTTCTAACTGCAGGTTCTGATATAAGCTTGCCAAATGCGGAAATTGGAAGTGGCCGAATTCTCGCTAAGGCTATTATTTTGGGGGAGTCAACCGTCGAGCAGGTGCCTACAGCTGAAGTTATTCTTACAGCAGTTAGTCCCGATGCAAAGATTTCTGATGGGTTTGATTTAAAGGCCTCCGAAGTGGTGATTCAGCTTCCGAGTGAAAAGAATCTCAATAGAGGTAACCGGAGTGTTTTTGAGTTGGATTGTATACCCCTTTGGGGATCGGTGTCTATTATCGGAAAGAGAACGGAAATGGAAGATGCTGTTGCTGCTATGCCTTGGTTTATAAAGATTCCTATCAAAATGCTTATTGGTGATCGTGTTTTCGGTGGAATCAGCAAAAATCTGACTGACCTTACTGGACACTTTTTCGGTGTTTATGACGGCCATAGTGGCTTGCAGGTACAAAATTCTTCCGAGAATCCGGTTTTGCATTTTAGGTCTATTTTAGGGGACTTCAAACATTCCTGAATTAAATGGCAGTTGCTATCTGTACGCTTTTTATGACGATTCTCTGCAACCGTGAGCAAATTTGGATTGACTGCATACAGCAACATTTATGTTCTTCTGATTGTAGTATTTTCCTGATCAATTGATCTTTTCCTTCCTCGTTCACCTTATGGGGATCTCATGCAGGTGGCAAATTATTGTCGTGATCGTATCCATGTGGCTTTGGCAGAAGAGATTGGAAGCATTAAAGACAATTTATGCGATGACACTAGCAAGGAAAGTCGACAAGTGCAATGGGAAAATACATTTACTAGTTGCTTTTTAAAGGTTGACGATGAGATTGGAGGAAAAGTTACCGGAGGCAACGGAGATGTTTCTGGTGCTAGTTTCGAATCCATTGCCCCTGAAACTGTTGGGTCAACTGCTGTGGTGGCCTTGGTTTGTTCATCGCATATTGTGGTCGCCAATTGTGGTGATTCAAGAGCAGTCTTGTGCCGGGGCAAAGAAGCCATGGCATTGTCAAGTGATCATAAAGTAAGGCAATTTAAAGTCTTCGGGTTTTCTACGAATAAATAAAATAAGCTTTCTGCTTATTGAAACCATCACGTTTGCTTTATTGATTTGCAGCCAAATAGAGAAGACGAGTATGCAAGGATTGAGGCATCGGGAGGCAAGGTTATACAGTGGAAGGGACATCGTGTATTTGGCGTTCTTGCAATGTCAAGGTCCATTGGTATGTTTATTTCTTTCCGACTTTGACTTAATCCACCGCCTCTCCCGGGGATAAAAGAATAAAAAACTCGGTTAATGCTGCTGCAAATGTGAAGGATGAAGTTTTCCATTTCATTTCAAGATGCTAAAGCCTGATCTTTATCTTGTTTGTTAATTCACAGGTGATAGATATTTGAAACCGTGGATTATCCCAGAACCGGAAGTTACGTTTATTCCTCGAGCTAGAGAAGATGAATGTTTGATTTTGGCCAGTGATGGTTTGTGGGATGTGATATCAAATGAGGAAGCTTGTGAGGTGGCTCGACGGCGAATTCTGCTCTGGCACAAAAAGAACGCGGTCCTGTCTGGAGTCGAAAGAGGCAAAGGAATCGACCCAGCCTCGCAGGCTGCAGCCGAATACCTTTCGATGCTGGCCATCCAAAAAGGTAGCAGTGACAACATCTCTGTAATTGTTGTAGACTTGAAAGCTCAGAGGAAGTTCAAGAGCAAATCATAATCAAAGTCTCTGCCCTCAGTCATCAAAAATCAAAAGTCTATAATAACTGACATGTTAGAGAGTAGTAATGAAATTCATAGCTCCGGTCCATTAATTTTTCTTGTGGGCTTAATGTGTGTACAAGAACAGAAATTAATATTGTATTATAGCAAGTGTTTTTGACTGCAGTATTGCCTATGTTTTGGTATAAATATATATGTGTAACTCTGTATTATATACATTGAGATAACAGTTGAAGTTATCATCCTTTAAAAGCAAATTGCTTGAGTAGGTGTTGAATAAAACTAAACAGAGCCAAGGATGATTTCCCATGGTAACAAAGCGTTTGTATTTTTCATCGGCATCAGACTTCCCATGGGAGCAAAGCGGTCTGTATTTTTCATCGGCATCAGACTTCCCATGGGAACAAAGCGGTCGTATTTTTCATCGGCATCAGACTGCTCAGATGAAAATCTTGTTTATCAGCAAAGACCAGAAAGATGAGGTTCCCATCACCATGAATATTGCCAGCATGACCTATATGATCAGGAGGATAGCTAGAGAGCCTGGAAATCCGGCTGCTGAAACATTTCATCACTGTTGGAGGCACTTGTGACATCAGAGCCGGAGGTAGCTGGAGCGGCATCTTTGAAATTTCCCCGCCGATGAGTTTCTGTTTTGGAGATGTCTGCAGACAAATGTAGCTGAGGAGACCTGGACATGTCTAGTCCGTGGTTTGTCGGAATGCTCTTGGATAAACCAAGTTTTTTTGTGTTGAGAAATTCCCCTCCACTTCTCTAGTTCGTTTAACGCATGAAGATGACGAGACTCGTGCAGATATGGCTGCAAACCATTTATAAAATTACGTCTTAGAAAATACCATTGTAAAGCCACATCAAGTTCTCGTGCACCTACCAGCAAGGAGGAAAACCTTGAAGAGAGACGTACCTTTTGAACTTGTAAGAGTTTGTTCTGAGCTTCGAGCTTTGCACGATATTGTCTTCGCCTGAGAATCACATGATACTTCTTTGCATTAACATAAAACTGTTCATCCTCTTTCAGATCCAGTAGCAGCAGAACTCGAGCAGGAAGCATAGCCATGGTATGAGCATGATAAATCTACGGCGAGTGCAAAGACAAATATCGCACGAATGGATAACAAATCAGAAACATTTTTGCCTGGTCATACATGACAAAGGATGTGCCTTAAAATAGATTTTCAGGGCATATGATTTAGCAACACAAACATTAGAATCTATAACAAAGCCACTTTAATCCAGAATCAACAAGTCGGAAAACAGAATAAAGTATGATCCAGTAACCTGCTGCCTTATTGTTTTTCTGATACTTAAACACAGTTGACAAGAACAAACGTCGCTTAGTGCACTAGCTACTTAATCAACTTTCATGCTTCATATAGTAAAAGCACTCGATAAAATAAGATCATGGAAGAAAAGCATTTCTGATTAAGAATCAATTTGATAAGAAAAGGAAAGAAGACTAAGAGTAAAGTAAGATGCGAAGTGTTCAATAGAATGACAGAAATTAATATGCGGCGGAATAGTCCATGAATAAGTTTTTGAACATTAAAGCATTAGACCTTTACCGGGCCGGCTAATGGATTTGTTATGTGAAACAAAGAATGAATTAACACAGGAAGGTGCTAGTTGGTTAAAATAATGGCCTATAGCCTCTACATTATATCAAAATAAACAACTTATAGCCTGACTTGTGCTTTCATATTTTCTACAACATCAAGGTTACATTTGTAGTAATTAAAGGACTAGATCTTTTAATCTGGTTTCAAAAATCGACGTTCCTACAACATTTTTTTATGAGGTTCATCGAAGAAGAGACTACAGTTAGTTTTATCATAACTAAAAGGTATAGTGTTAAACAGGGTTTTAAACCCTTAAAACTAACCATTGTCTATTCTGTGAACAGATAAAATACCAGACATAAGTGCCTGCAATTGAACATGACAAAACTCTTACTGTAGCTTGCGATCCATAAGCAGTAGTCGCTACACCGCCAAAATATGGTTAGGCATGATGGAGAGGAATATGCAACAGCAGCAAGAAACCTGATATAAATAAATGTGATATACAAGACACCGATGCATCTAGATACCGGCCAAACTACATAAGTAGTAACTTACAATTGATTTGATATAAAAAAAAGCTCAAATGTTCCTTAAAAATTCATCGCCTGCATTATTTGATCACACGCTGCAAGCAAAGCATATGCTTCAATCTAAAAGCTTTCCAGAGTAAAAGAGATCCATGCAGATCAACAAACAGTTACCCGATCTGCTTTACTGCTTTGCTTTACAAGTGTTGGAACATGCATTAATTATAGGAGTAAACAATGTTGGATAAGGTGGAAAAAGCCATTGCATGCCTAACCTAAGCAAAGTATGTTGTATAAATTAATGTTCTTGTGAAAAACCTCATTGTTAAGGAACATTTGAGCTTTTTTTTCAACCTTGAAAAAACAAAGAATGATGATTTAAGGGGTTGTCTCAAAAATGAACAACATCGCCATCATGGAGCTTTTCCTGTTCTCATAAAATCTAGGACCAAAATACAATTTAAGGTATAGTACAGGGATTGGTTTAGCACTTTTACCTAACGAAAACACGAGTTAATAAATTTGAACAGAGAAGGACAAAGAGAAACATGGTTTTCTGCATCTCTGGATGAATTGAATAGTGGAACAGTAGTTGTTGTTTTTTCTTTTCATCTGACTTGTTGATGGTTTGATATTGAAATGTGTTTGTTGTTTTCCTTGTTGGTTCAAGGCCATTAATGTAACACAGTTTTCATTTTGGCTTATATGTGTTAAAAAGGACAGATGTTTTGGTGGTTAGTCAGCAAAAGTGACAGCATTTTCCTTTCTATCAGGAGCCATTGATCTGCCGCTAAAATCATTGAGCAAACAACCCCAGTGGAAAAGCAAAGGAAATTGTTTCACAAACTGAAATGAAAAAAAAAGAAGAGGTGCCCTTAGCACCAATTTGATATTTTTATCAACAACAAATTAATTAGAAAATTAAAATAAAATATAAATCACGAAGAAATAAATGACAATTCAACTATGGATGGGAATAGGACCTGAACCCAAAGGGTTTTGATCCGACCTGACCTGACTCGATTGGATTGAGTTTTTTTAAAATAAACAGATTCAGGTCGAGCTCGGATTTAGGTTGAAAATATCTTACCCGATCCGAAAAAATATATAATTTTACCTTATATATTTATGAATAATTATAATAATACCTCTTTATATATCATTTTTTTCAATTAAGTCATTGTTTTTATTGAATAAAAATAATATTTTTTATTATTTCGGGTCAAATCAATTTTTAAGTTATATATCGGATCGGGTGAAATTTTATTTCATGCGAGTCGGGTTGAATATCGGGTGGATGAGTCATTGTTCTCGGATCGGGTCGGGTGGACCAAAAATCCAACCCGACCTATGCCCATCTCTAAATTCAACAACAATAATTAGTTGGGGGTTCAAATAACAATAATATAAATCTAAGATTACTCCCAAACTCAAATATAACTTTAACCAGACCTAAAATTGAACAAATAGAGCGTTCGCTTCCTATAAATAGTACACGTCTTTAAAGTTAAATCGGATTAAATTCACGTGCACGTGTAAATAAAATTATGTAAATTTGAATTATTTAAAAATATATTTATTTTATTATTTGAAACATTCATCGGTTCCGTTAACTTTTTATTATAAGTTACAACTAAGGATTGACGTATGGTTTTATGTTAAGTGAAATTTTATGAAGTTATATTATAAATTTAAGGGTGTGAAATTATAAAATTTCAAATGATACGAAATTAGATTATCAATCTTTTTTTTACAAGATAGAAACCCCTAGTTTTATTAAAAATATAAAATAAATCTAAATTACAATGAAAATTTACACCCACAATCATAAACTATAACACATAATAAGAACATTTTCATATAATCATTAACACAATAAACTATATACTTAAGATCATACAATGACCATATAAGGAAAAGTTAAAAACATTATTAAATAAACTCGAATAAAAAGTAGATACGAATAGATTTGATCTCATTGGCAAACGAAACACAAAAGGAGATCAAGCTATTGAAAGACCACTGATAAATTGTAAATCAAAACCAGACGACGTGAGAAAACTATCTACGAACATAAATCGTATATCCAAATCCAATATGAGGGTCCAAAATATAGAACGTCAACATTATAACAAATGAACACCATCTTCATCAGTCGTGTCAATGTCGAATTCAACCTTGAAAAAATGATAAACGAAAAATAACAGTCAAATAATCGAAAATATGCCACAAAGGCATAAGAAAACATGAAAAAAAGGAAGAGATATTAAAAGTTAAAAGATATGACATTATAAAATAAATAAAAAACAATGAATATCAACAATCGATGATTAACACTAAAACTAGTGTCGTCGTCAATTACAAAGATGAAGAAAAAGAAAAAAACTAATGACGATACGAGAAAAAAAGAGAAAAGTAGAGTTAAAACCCCTAATAAATTAGATCAATAATCTAAAATATATATATATATATATATATATATATAAAACTAAGTCGCATTAGAATTTATATTTTTTAAAAAGTGAACTATTTTCTTAATACTTCTCAATTTGTCCCTAATTACAACATAAGAACATACATAATTAAGGAGAGATTCATATTAACCTAAAAGAAAATAAACAAATAACAATAATAATAATAATAATAATAATAATAATAATAATAATAATAATAAAGACAAGAAAAATGAACCACCATATTGATGACTCACTTGGACCACATCCTTCTCGTTGTTGCAAAAATCAAGGCTCTCTTTCAACCCATGCCTTGAAAATGACATTTATCGATGAAAAAATGCACCTTCCTCCCTCGATTAAAATATCATATTAATTATTTTAATTACATAACATATATTAAATTTAAATTAATAACTTAACGGATTTATTTTTTATTCTTATTAAATTAATGGGTATACTATAAAACTCGTTAGATCAAAATTAATGAAAACTTGTAAAAAAAATTGATTAATATGTGGTGATTACAACATAATATATATTCCGAAATTTTTTAATTATTTGATTATGAATGCTCAAACACCCATACAAATAACGTATTTTAA